TTTTGACTAGCATATTTGGACTACGAAAAAGCCTTGATTCCGTAGAAATTTTGGTAGTGCCAGTGCCCTTCAGCGGTGCCAAGTTGGCAGTATATCGGAGTGGTGAAGTGTTTGTACAGAAGAGCTACGATAGTTATCCGAGTACAGAACTAGAGTACGAAACTTCTCAAACGGAGAGTTCATTACAGCCCTTCAAACGTCCACTGCTGGACATAGGTTTGCCTCAAGAAACGACACAAAACACTGTTCTAAGCCACCTGCATCCATCGACTTCCTTGGCGGGTCTGACAACCCAAACCTTCGTTTACCGGTATGAGACTTACGCTTCTTCAAACTATATGGCCAGTGTATTGTTTCAATAATTTAATAAATTCAGTGGCATTTAACATGGAACCCTAATGCGGAAATATAGCTTACCTTGAATATTTTTAGACTACAAAACTGTTAAAGCCAGTATTATATTAACAATTGCCTTTTTATAGTCATCGTATATCATGCTAATATTACATCCTTCCTGTCACGCTACGCTGTACGTTGTAATGCGTTGTGTTAGTGTGTTACTGAGCGGGTTTTTCCCTGAGTTTTTTCACTGAGCGGGCTAGTTTGATCGGGATGCCACCATTGGCAACTAAGCAACAAATTTAATTTATTTATTTATTTGTAAGACATACCAACAGCATACATATTTACAAAATTTAGAAATATTATAGTTTTTAATTATTGATATATGTATGCCAATTAAAGTTACATACATGCAACATTCGCCTGCAATAATCATACGTAACGTTTAGGGAGGAGGAGGGGGGGGGGGGGGGCAGAAAAACCTTATGGCTCATGCCATGAGGGGAGGGAGGGTCAAAAATCTTTAAAAATTGCGTAACGTAATACTTGAAAGCCCCCTAAGATATTAAAGTCAAACACAAGGAAACGAAGTACCAAAACGTTAAAAATAAATAATTTAATTAACTGTAATTCTATACAATAAAAACTAAAAATTTGTTTTAACGAGATAAAATTTAATTAAAGTATTAATATCCATATTTTATAACACGACACTATAAAAAACTACTTATACAATAAATAAACGCATTATATTTTTTCTGTGGGATTTTCTTCAAGTAATTATATACATATATGTAGGAATTTTATACGTAGTGCAAAACACAAATCACATTTATGATGCTGGCCAGTAATCTATCCCATTCCCATTCTATTATTTACAACGAATGTCACTGACAATAATGCTTTCATTACATTTTATTTTAAAACCTTTTCCTAACAATAAACCATTTTAAAAGTATTTTACAAAATTCAATTTTAATATTGTTTTGGCGGGAATCTGACCGCCGACTTATTGCTGCTCCTGTTTTATTGTTTAAATATTATTTTTAAAAGTGTGTGTGTTTTAAGTGGATTTTGATTCGTAAAAGGTGCCTTTTTGTGTAGTGCTCCGATCGTGATATAGTTGTAAATCTCAAGTTATTTTTTCTGCTTGTAACACCTTGAGATACTATCGTTATCGACTATTTCCTGGCTAAAGCTGCCGTCAAAATCTTTATATGTACTTCAAAATATGAGTATGACGCATCAACAATTGAAGAAGTTTATAAACACACTATTATGAAGGATAATATCTTATTACTTGACACTGGCAAAAGTACAACTGTAGAAGTTCATTACCAAAGAAAAATAAACAATATCATATTATAATTTGATGATATCAATATTACCATCGATAGTTTATACGATTTATACACGATTTATATTTAATTATTATTTTTTTTGTGAAAAGAACTCTTTTTTTTTTAACAATCAAAACAATTCGTTTGTTTCCATTGATACGATTTATAAAATAAGCATTAAATTAATCGAGTCCAATAAACATTTTATTACGTAAGCACTTGATGACGAGAAACGGGAGGACGAGTGGAGGTGGTCATTGTCATTTCAATTAAAAACAATAATTGCGTGCGATTCCATTCCACGCGACATACAAGTTGCGCCTGCATTTAAGCGGGATCTATTAAGCGGATTATATTCACATTAAAATACTTTTTACCCGACTTTAAAAAAGCAGGAGGTTGGTAATTTGACTGGACGTTCGTTTTTCGTGTGTATTTTACGCGATATCTTCTTCAATTGTGAACCGATTTTAATAATTCATTTTTTTTATAAAAAAGAAAAAAGAGTCTTCCCATATAAATTAGAAGAAAAAAGCTAAATATGTTATAAAAAAGAATATTAGATGAAGAAGTTTAATTTAACTATTTAGACGACATTCGAGCTTGTGATAGAGCATTCAAATTTGTCATTTAGACTTTGTAAAAATTAATTAAATATTTACAATATATATATATACATAATAGCTTTTCAAGTCGGGGCTCTAATACTCGACCTATACATTATCTCTTAGCACCGAATTGTGAAGCAGTAATGGAGAAATTTTTGTTTTAGTTTTTTTTAATCGACTTTTACTTTTTAATTAAAGCTGAATATCAAACAGTATCGTCATTGTAATATGAGACAGACTAGATGAGAGTTATCATTATTCCCCATTTGCCTATTTCGAATATATAATAATGAATTTTGATATATCTAATCTAAATATAAACTGAAACTATGATGGCGGCGTCAAACAATCTATCACCCCTTTTAGTACCGTGGGTGTCGTGGGAGGGGAATATGGATTATGCCGAAAAGATCTTGTGACTTGACAGTATCTACAACTCGCTTAAGCCAGACCAAAAAACCCAGACCAGTGACGGGTTGTTGTATCAAAGTTACTAGACTTCTGATCTTGCAATCGCCAAACACCCTGCAAACCATGATGATTAAGACAAATTCTCCCTACAACGGAAGAGGCCTATTTGATGATAATGATGAACATGTGAATAGCTAGCCGATGCTCTTTATAATCTTGTAGTGACATTAAAGCTGTGTCAAAAGTAAACTAGAAAACTTAAGAAATGTCAATCCTATTTGGATCACAGGATTCACGACGCAGTAATAATTTTTTTATTAAAAAAATACTAGCAGAGCTATTAACATATTCCTTTTAAACACTCCAGGTAAGCTTAAAATGCTTGTGTTAGGAGTGGTTCACAAGTTCACGACAGTAGTCAAAAGGCGGATTCGAACCCTACCTTTTGAGTTCGCAGTTCGCACTCTGCTGAGGCTACAGTCGCTTATAAAGTACTTTTATAAGCGACTATAGCCGAGTTACTTCCTATTATCTAGAAATTTTTCGTCGAGAAGATCCGTTACATAGTATTCAATCAAAGACATTTAAGGGGGAAATATAACCTCAAATAGCTTAGCAAGATCCTCCGTTATGCCGAAAATATTGCAGCATTAATTTTGAGATAAATATATGGTAAAGTTGAGAATTAATGTTAAGGACTATGTTAGACGAAATCACGATTCCGTAACATTTTCTCGATAGAAAAAAAATCCAAAGTTACCTCTAAACTGAACAATAAACCGCTGTTATTCATAAAATACTTTAAATAAGATCATGAAACTTTGCATAATCACTGAACTAACTATAAAGCAGTGCTTATATTATTTACTTTTTTTTAAATACCATTATTTTCACTGTAAAAAGAAATTACCTAAACTATCGGCGCCTTGAAGCTTGATTCCTGATCCTGCTGCCCGGTCAGTTTCGCTTTGGCCTTTGAAGGGGGAGGTTGTGTGTCTTACGATCAGAATACACATTACGAAACAGGACGACGTAAAATTAAAATGGGAAATAACCGTAATAAAAATAAGAAGCGACTGGTTTGGCGTTAAGAAACAGGCATAAATATGATAAACCTAATGAAATAAGTATCTAACGACCTTTCTACTTACACTATTAGTGATTACAAACATGTCGGTACATAGCATACGACGCGCGGGGAAGTGGGGGCGAAATTAGAATTTGAGCTGACTTACTATATCCCCTTAAGTAGTTAAATCTCTTTGTATTCAATATTGTAAAAACAGTTTTTATTGCAAACTACTCATTCTTAAAGACTTAAATTTATGACAACTTTAATTCGTCATAATTTGCCAAAGTAATAAATAACATTTTTTACGCTTATAACGTCGTAAATAAGGTCGTAACTCGAAACGCGAAGAGTCAAAATTTTTAATGGAATGTGTACAATGAATAATGGAGTAAACCACTAGTGCGTAAATAATTGCATTTCTATCCGTCTTGAACGTAATATATAAATATACTAGCTTGCCAGGCAGACGTTGTTCTGCGCGTTTCGACGACACTTTGTAATGTCCTATTAAAAATCCTTAAATTCGCAAAAAAATAACTGTGGGTCACTCATGGGCAAAAAAAACTATCCTATCTCTCAAGTTGGACCAAACTGCACACGGTGTGCAAATTTGATTAACATCGGTTGAGTAGTTTAAGAGTCGATCGCGGACAAACAACGTGACACGTAACACTTTAAAAAAAAAGAAAAAACACACAACACGTAAAAACTGTTTTAAAACCTTCCTTTTTAGCCATTGCACAAGCACATTATTACGGTGTGACCCATGTTAGATATGTAGGTACGCCAAATAACAGCTCAATTGGATATCAGCGAGTGCTTTAAAAATTGATACCAAATTGGAAATTATTTTTGTTATAGACTAAGGATCACACAGTCCACCTGATGGTAAGTGTATGCTGTTGCCCATAGACATCTGAATTCATCTTCAATTACGAATCAAAATGCAGATGCGTTGTCACTCCTGAGAACTAAGCTAGAATGCTTTGTAAAACAGTAAAAAGGGTGTTTTGATCTCTACACTTACCATACGAAACAAAAATAAACAACATTTGCTATTTCACGCTGGTACTCTGTGAGAGCGTAATCGTACTCCGGTTGAGCTGACTGATTCGTACTACCAGCATAATATAGCTGCAGCGTGGCTCTAACGTGAAGAGTTATTAAAAAGCTTTTATAAAGAACGTACGTTATGTAATCAATAATATTAATTTCTCCTTTCCACAGTTAAACCCCCACGTGAACGATTTCCAGCGACGTTATGTGTCAGAAGTGCGACGCTGCAGTGAGATGGAACGGAAGCTGCGGTATGTGGGCAGTGAGCTGCCCGAGCCACCACCTCCGCCTAAACCCTCCCCTACTGTGCTCAGTCCGAGAGAGATCAACATACTAGAGGTGAGTTGCACTATCTTACACATCTCCATGATACCTTGAGGAACGTTCTCTCGTTCCATACATACAAAACACTCACGCCTGTAACCCGGAGGGGTAGGCAGAGACTACAAACTTCCATTTAGCATGATCTTGACATACCTCTCTCGCCTTTTCCACATCCATATACCTACGCATACATGCTCGTCGGTTAAGGGTATTCTTAATTTGGCCCATTTTTAATATATCGCTAATTTGATCGTAAAACTTTCGTCTAGGATGTCCCTTTCCGACTCTTCCATTCACTTCTACAACATATATTTGCTTTGTCAGTCTTTCCGCATTTCGTTGTATAAAAATGAAGTGAAAAGCGAACTTATAGCTTCCATCTGATATTAGTAAGGTGTTGCAGCCCATAGCCACCAACTTCAAATAGAGGAGGCTACAGGTGCGCTGTCACCTCTCAGGAAAAATTGGATGTATCTGAAACGGATTCCTAGAAATGAGGACTTAGGGTTGCCACCTTTTTTTTGAACAAATATAGTATTTTTCCCAAAAAAGATGCAAACAATATAGTACTTTTGAGAATTTTAGGAGAAAAAAGTACACATTTATTTTTAATCTTTATGTATTTTCCCATATATGTTTGCTTCTTGAGTTGGCCATCATTGATCTAACCGCATTACCTTCTCCCTTAAGGTTAAAACAAATTAACAATAAATTTTTAATAAAATTAATACACGCTCTTTTTCTTTCTTCTTTAAATTTTAAATTAATGATGGAAAAAATTCTTTCCATAAATCATACTTGTTCCAGACTACCAATCACAGTTAATATAAAAACGCTACAGGTTGTATTAGGAGTAAAAATATATTGAATAAAACTATTATTTACGGATTTTACCGCGATAAAAACCGTAAATAATAGTTTTATTCAATGTGTAGTGTTCGCGTAAATTTAAGAAATCATTAAATAAAAATATAGTATTTTTCTTACTGTATAATTTTTCTATAATAAGTGTATAGTACAATTGACTGAAATATAGTACCTACGATAATATATTTTATAGTACGGGTGACAGCCCTAGTCCTCGCATCTCTAACGTTGCACTAGTACAGCGTTTCAACGGCTGTTAAAAATACTGCGGCATTTTAAATTCCAAGTCAGTGTCATCATCATCATTACAGCCCCTCACAAATAAAGCTTCTAATTACTAGTCAAAAGATTTACACACTTATCTTCACGCACAATCCCTAACGGGGTAGCCAGAGAGAACAGATCGCCAAGTGTCACGATCCTTACATACCTCTTTCGCTTCTTTCAGGTTCATTAACTTCTTCATACATGCACGTCTAGGTATCCGAGTACTCTTGACCCTCCCGTCTTCGAGCAATTTGCTCACATGGTCTTCGAAAGTTAGTCTCGGTCTACCTCGACACCTTTTAATATTGTTGCATGAATAAGTCAACTAGCGCCATCTAGTGTCAGGAACGAGAGCGAGGGGGCATTGAGAAAATGACATCACAAATCACTCAACCGACAGCGCCTAGTCGAAACTCGAACGCTCGGTACCTTGCGCGTGTTTACTTGAACATTCTGGATATTTCTTTGCTAATTTAAATAAGTAGGCGCTGCAAGATGCGATCGGAGTTGAGTTGAATTCGGCGACACAAGCGAAGCTTCGGAGCGGAATTAAGTGAATTAGTGTGTTTAATTATTAGTGTTTTTAGTTTTAATTTGTGTAAAGTAAATTAAAGTGTTAATTTAGGTAATTTTATCGGCAATTTTTATTGTCACGAACCTCAAGCTCGTAACAATATTTACTTTCGCTCTATATATTTTTCTTCACCATTCGGTCTTCACTCATTCGTTCAACGTGCCCAAACCATTGGAGTACGCCCCTATCAATTTTTGTAAAATTGATAGTCAAAAGATTCATTCCACATATTTTGATTACTCCCAAAACTCACTCATCAAAGGTTATAAAATCAAAGGGTACCTACTTTCTGTTGATCTAGAATCAGATTTTTGGCAAGGAGCAAGTTTTCCGCCAACACGAGTAAAGAAAGAACCCGTTAATTTGTTGCGTTTACAGTATCGAACGTGACGTAGACCGATGTACGGGAGAATGTTTTTTCCGCTGCAAAATTAAGTTTGTCTTTCTAGAAGTTTATCTTACCCTATAATTTAAACTATTTATGAATATCAGAGGCACGAGATATACTTTTCCTTTATAGAATAGGTGTGATTAACGAGCACACAGTCCATCTGATGGATCCTCGATCAAGAATAAAGACGCGGATGTATTGTCAGTTTTTAACCCTGTGGACTAACATGAAATGTCTGGTTAACAGTTAAAGGGTCTTTACGTTCACGTTCACTAAATTAACTATACAAAGTACGGCGCCATTATGCGGCTATTTTTCCCTGGTATTCTGTGATAGCGTGGTCTGACCCCGGTCGAGCCGCAACCATATACCTATCAGCACAGAATAAATAATAGTACCTACTACTATCAGGTAAAAAATAAAAACTGCGTAGGTGAAGAATTGCTCCCTAATAACCAACGTATAATCGAGTATTTTATCAAATAGGTTAAAATATATATAATATAATATATAATATATTCCATAACTATCACACAACGCCATCTAGTCCCAAGCTAAGCAGAGCTTGTGTTATGGGTACTAGACAACTGATAAACATACTTATATATTTCTAAATACATAAATATTATAGATAAATTACACCCAGACACAGAACAAATGATCGTGCTCATCACACAAAAATTTGTCCTGGGTGGGAATCGAACCCACGACCTCCGGCATAGCAGTCAGGGTCACTAACCACTAGACCAACAGGCCAGTCTACCAATAGTTACTTTCAAATGTGCCGCTAGATTTCAAAAGAAATCTCCGGTGGAACTGACACGTTTACGATATATATTTATTTAATCTTTTTATTACTTCCAGGAAAGGATAGACTACATAGAATCCGAAATCCAGGAGATCACACGCAACGCACAAAACTTGAAGAATGATTACGTCTCGCTTAAGGAGCTCAAACTGTTAATCGAGAAGACCCAAACCTTCTTTCAAGACCACAGCCACCATAGAAAGATCTCTGCATCAGTACAGGTGTACAACAATGAAGGAGTGCTAGGACATCTTGGGTTTATAGCTGGAGTCGTAGCTACTCCCAGGGTGCCGTCGTTCGAGAGAATGTTATGGAGGATATCCCATGGAAATATCTTTTTTAAGCAGGCACAAATCGACGAACCACTAAAGGATCCTATCACTGTAAGTTTTTTGTTTATCTGTTTAAAAAAAGCGGCGATAAGTCAGAAATACTGGCTACATTTTTTTACCTATTTAACATTTAACCTAGAAACGAACTAACCATTGCCGTCGACAGCCAGTTCTATGGTTTAAAAAAAATATTTAGGAATTACTAGGTGCGTATGCAATTCACAGTAGACACTATCCCGATGCACGTTCTAACAGGGTCCTCACTGTTAAAAGAAGTCCGTTAAAATAATTTGTCCAAATGTTCTAATATCGAAATATACCATATTTATCAATTGAATAAACGGATTTGACGACTTTATGTTGTAACTTCTAAATGCGAAAGTTTCTCTTTTACGGTTTAAAATCATTTATTTTTCAAAAGAATTAAAACAATTACTTAAGTACATGTGAAACTTACATTGCTATAAGTTTATACATTTTATCCGGTGATCGTTAAATGTACTAAGATATTTAAGCTTATTAACCCTTTTTAAACATATTGCTCGTAAGGAGGAAAGTGAGATATGGCACAGTTAAAGCTTTTTATGGTGAAGAAGTGCAGAAAGCTAAAATTTACGTATAATGTATTACGAGCACAAATACATTAAGATTTAATAATAAAACATTCATTAATTACGTTCATACAACTAATGTCGGCAACAGCATAGAGATTGTCTTTAAAAATTTTTAAAATGTTGCCAACAAATAATTCCTGAGAGCTTTGATTTTTTTTTGATTTCAAATGTTCGTACCTATTTCAATATTCTGTGGCGCCGTGGAGTGTATGTCAAGGAAAAGAGCGTATATTTTTGTATTTTATACATTAGCTGTCTGTGTTTTTTTTTTTAAATAATGTGCTGTAGAAAGTGAAATTTAACTATTACCAAGTGAAGGAAAATCATTGTACTCCTTTTTAAGCATAAAAAAACAATGATAATAGATACACATATAGATATACACTATGATAAAAGAATTTCGATAAAGTTAAAATTATAATGAATTACGGTCGAATTTCGTCCACTGGGCGACCACCAGTACTACATAAATAGCGTATTAAGATAGATAAGTACTGTATTGCATGCCTTTTGGATTTAGCAAACTTTTTTTATTGTAGTTTGACATAAAATTATTGGAAAATTAGAAGTAATAGAAATAAAGTTATTTGTAAAAACTTGTGTGTATTTAAAATACTTTAAAAAATTGACGTAAAACATGAGCGCTTAAGGCATGCACATTTAGATTTACCAAAAGTTTTTTTCAATTGTAGGGTAATTCACTTGTAATTGAACTGAAAAAATAAATTCAAGTGTAATTCACTTGTAGGGTAAACTTAACATACTCTAGTGAGGATTTTTTATGTTTTTATAGCCATGTTTTAACTATAAACAATGTTAGAGATATAAGTATACAGGTATTTCTGATAAAGTAGATGTTACTGAATCAATCATTTTAAACTGTTTTATTACACAGAGCGGCGCTACAGATATTTTATGACCGTAGCACAAATGGGTTGGCTCGACGAGGGTATGATTACGTTCTGATAGAATAGCTTGAAACACCAGAATAATGCTGTGTTGCGTAAGGTGAGTGTAGAGAATCGGAGTTCTTACTGGTAACGAGGCATTCTATTTGAGTCTTCTGAGGTAACAACGCATCTGCATTTTGATCTTTTTCTGTTGTGACTTATCATCAGGTGTACTGTGTGCTCGCTTATCACCCTTATTCTATAAAAAAAATGTCTATCAATAGATGTTTTATATTTCTCATAACGCAATTAAAATGAAAACATCAAAAAAAAAACAACTTTTAACAACTATTCATATCACTGGCACAGCTAGAGTTGCCACCCGCACTATAATATTTATATATATATATATATATATATATATATATATATATATATATATATATATATATAGTATCGTACTATATTTCAGTCAGTTGTACTATATACTATTGAAAATAAGTCGCTCTTTTTATATTAACTGTGATTGGAAGTCTGGAACAAGTAAGTTATACGGGGAAAAAACCATTGTGAATTCAAAATTGAAAGAAGAAAGAAAAAGATCATGTATAATAAATAACGTAAATAAAAATTAATTGTTAATTTATTTTTATATGAATCTAAATTCCTCAAAACTATAATTATTTTAAAGGTAAGGTTGAAGGTAAGGTGGTTAGGTCATTGATGGCCAAAACAAAGAGCTATAACAAATATATATGGAAAAATACATAAAGATTAAAAATAAATGTGTACCTATTTTCTCTTGAATTTCTCAAAAGTATTATATTTTTTCATCATTTTTTGGGACAAATACTATATTTGTTCAAAAAAACGGTGGTAACCCCAGGCACAGCATAACATAGCCTCAATGAAAATAGCATTTTTCTGTTCGTATAATTAGAACAGAATCATAGTAGACAGTCTGTTTAGAGTCTACCTTTGAAAACAATTCAATTCAGCTCTAATTAAAGTGCAAAAAAATTTTTTATTATAGAATAAGGGTGACAAACCAGCACAAAGTCCACCTGACGGTAAGTGGATGCTGAGGCGCATAAGCATCTACATTTATCCTCAAATAATAATCAGAATGCAGATGCGTTGTCACCCCTGAGTACTGAGATGGAATGCCTCGTTTCCAGTAAAAGGGTATCCGGTTATTATAATTTACATGAAACATAATTTAATATGTAATAATAATAACTTAAATGACAGTCTTTAGCGATGTTACGTACCCACTTAAGTATTTTTTTTTTCTTTTAATAATTCACCACAGCCCATTGAAGTCAACTGCTAAACATAAGCTTCCCCCGTATACATGATATTTTGTGAGAGTGTGGTCCTCTTAAGTCAACCTATTCTATACCATAATACAGTATTAGCAGCGTGGCTACAACACGTATGAATTGAAATGTATTTTATAACTTAAGTAACTCTAACATTAGTTAAGGTGTTTCTAGTTTTAAACAAATTGATATTCGAAGAACCGTATTTATACTTTACAAATCTAGCGATAGTAACGTTTGACGAGCAAATGTCTGTTATAGTATAAATATAACAGACATTTGCACAGTATACTTTAAAACTATTAATGTTAAGAAAACGACATATTGATGGGGGATTTCCATTAAAGTTTTTACATCCGTAATAGATACAATAGCACCTTATCTAACCACTATTTTTAAAACAAGCCTCCAATCTGGTGTGCTTCCTGATTCAATGAAACATAGTAAAGTTTTAATTTCTTAATTATTTTACTAGGCTTTAATTTAATGGCTTGATTTCAGAATAGCGTCTTGCACAACATATGCAGAAACAATAATTCTTAAAAGCCCCATTGGCATGGCGAATAGTTACAAACGGGCTGGCGGTCGTTAACCCTCGTTTATATATTGATTTTTCAAACGGCTTACCGACGCAATAGTTTTTTTATAATGAAATAAGCGCTATAGAAAATAATGTGCATAATTTTTATTTATGCGGCATACATTGAGTGAACGGTTAATGAAAGACATGCACAAAATATGCTATTGATATGAATGAAGTATTTCTTTTTGCTCAGGGAATTAGTACTTGATTTAGTCCGGTAAATCAGAACATGTCAACATCAGAGATCAGAGTTAGTAACAAATGACGTAGTTGAGATTCGCGCAATATCAGTTACTGGGTAAATAAACAATAATATTAAAGTTTTAAAGAACTTAAACACCACACATTGATCACAAGCCAATGACATAAGCTATGAGTAGGGTTGCCACCCGTACTACAATAAGTATATAGTATCGTACTGTATTTCATCATACTATATTTCAGTCAATTATACTATATATTATATAACAATAACATAGTACGAAAAATACTATATTTTTATCCCCAATTCAACTGTCACGCTTTTTTATACCTGTGATTGGAAATCTGGAACAAGTAAACGTAGTATATTTACGGGAATATTTTTTCCACCGTGAGTGTAAAATTGAAAGAAGAAAGAAAAAGAGCATGTATTAATTTATTTTTAAATTCATCGTAATTTATTTTAATATGAATCTAAATTGCTCGGACTCTTATAATTATTTTATACGTAAGGTAGAATGTATGGTGGTTACATCATTAATAGCTAACTTAAAGACCTAAGTATAATAAATATATATTACAAAATACATAAAGATTAAAAATAAATGTGTATACTTTTTTCCCCTGAATTTCTCAAAAGTACTTTATTTTTGCATCTTTTTTGGGTAAGATACTATATATATATTCAAAAAAGTTGGCAACCCTAGATATGATAGGTATACCAGACCATAGTTATGAAATTATTGTATTATCATCGGTTCGTAATACGTTTGTAAAATGGTTGATAACCGAATTATAAAATTTCTTAACGTTCATTCATACACACGTACATACATACATACCATACAAACAAAGATTCAAGTTAAGCTAATAAAAGCGTCTTAAAATTAAAAATTCCTAAAATGTTTTATATTTTTGTATCTCGATTTTCCTTCATAATTTACGGCCTAACATAGGTATATATATATATATATATATATATTAATATATATATATATATATATATACTACTACTTACTACTACCTAAATGTTTTTGTTTACGACTTAGTTTACTGATAACCATAATAATGTTAATTAGATGCGATTAAAAAATTATATGTTCTCTGACTTCTAATCCTAAGTGTTAGGTAGATTTACCGGTAGCACTAATATCAATGTATCAGGGAACTCGCTCGATTGGGCTATTTACTTTCCTGTTTTCTAAATGTTAACTTAGTCTTGGATTTCAACGAAGGACAAGGATCCGTGACCTGGTAAGCAAAATGACTCAGATCACGCGATCGTTAATGAATTCATAATATGCAAGTGTATGTTTTTCATAACAATCCTTTTACCCGTGTATACAACAAATTATAAAATTACATAAAAGCCAACTTTGTTATTCATAATAAATTGCATGACTCAAACAGCAGATGTGCTGATGAGGGATGTCAACCCATAATTAACATAGCATCCTACTAAACAAGTAGCCTCAACACTATATTTCTAAAAGTAATATATGGTAGACGTACCTACTATATTTTTAATCAGGCGTGGGTCTATTAATAAAAGCTCAAAGCAGAAAAAATATCCCTTTAAATTTTTTTTGAAAAATCAACATGATTACAACAGTACTTCGCAAGTACATTACTAGTGATAGACCTCAAGGAATGCCTCGTAACACACATCCATCGACTTCATGATGCATGGCTTACCAGGTCGTACATCCATCTATTGAAAAATACTATAGGTTTGTTTTTTATTATTTGCCACCATATTTATAAGTAATAGACTAGAAAGTACTGTATTTCAAATAAATCAGTTGGCAACCCTGTTGTGTGAATAACACAACGATCAGTGAAAAGTGCTGATTGAATTATAGTTCTTGAGTTACGGAATTACATAACTGTACAAATTAATACGTGGTAGAGCTATAATACAGCTATATTATGGTTGTAGTACGAATGGGTCGACTCCACGAAAGGATGGTGACCCTTTTTACTAAAAACAAGGCAAGGTTTGTTCTCAGAGGTGGACAACGCATCTGCATTTATTGATTAATAATCGAGGATAGATCTATAGGCCGCAGTATCCACTTACCATCAGGATGGCTGAGTGCTCGTTTGGTTGTCAACCATTCTGTTGTTTTATTTTATACAACATGTAACATAGGACTCCTTTTGTTTTACAATGTTTTTTTAATTTATTTTATTTTATCCAGGGGCACGAGCTTCAAAAGACAGTCTTTGTGGTATTCTTCCACGGGGAGCAAATCAAATTGAGAGTCAAGAAGGTGTGCCATGGTTTCCAGGCTACACTGTACCCTTGCCCAGCTACGTATAAAGAGCAGCAGGAGATGTTGGCTGGCGTGGAGAACAGAATTAAGGATATGGAGATAGTATGTAATTTTTTTTTTTAGAATTTCTTAAGCCCTATATTTAAATGAACATCTTACTTACCTCATCATTATCAACATCATTACAGTCTATGGAAGTCAACTGATGAACATAGGACTCCCCATAGATCGCCCCCCAAGCGTATTCTCCTACTTGCCATAGTTGCCACGACTGGCGAGCGGGTTGGCAAGTTTTTTAATTTCTAGTTGTAGTTAAGCAGACGCTGCTGTCCTAGTCCCGGTTTGTTTCCCACTGTCGCCTCTTACGAAACCCACGGGACGATCTACGGTAGTGGATATTCCTACACTGCCACATCACAGTTAAAACTAACCTTACAATTAAATGAATATAACACAACGAAAACAGTGCTACCCATTTTACTGAACTCACGGGTGACAACGCATCCGCATCTTGATTCGTGATCGAGATTAGATGTAGATATATTAGAGCCGCAGCAACCATTTACCATCAGGTGGACTATGTGCTCATTTGTCACCCTTATCCTATAGATAAAAACTGTGGATATAGTTCTACAGCATTGAACGATATGAAACATCAAACAAGTTAAAACATGATCAAAACACAACTTGGTAGAGCCATGCTGCAGCTATATTAATTGTATAGATGTAGCACGAATGGGTCGAATCGACCGGGGAAGGACCACGCTCTCACAGAATACCAGCGTCAAATAGCAGCTTAATGCTGCAATGTTTCGTATGGTGACTGTAGAGAACCGGAGACCCTTTTTACTGGAAAGGAGGCATTCCATCTTAGTCCTCAATGCTGACAACGCATCTTCATTTTGATTCGCAAACGAGTATAGATGTAGATGTCTATAGGCCACAGCAACCACTTACCATCAGGTGGACTATGTGCTTGTTTGTCACCCTTTTCCTATAAAGAAACGAAAATGCATTATATTAATAGTCACCGTCATCATCATCTACACTCTGGTGATATCCCGGATGTCAGTCTGAGCGAGGTTAGAATATCTCTCCAGTAACGCGTCTGCAATTCCTCTGGTGTTGGTGGGCCGCGTGCCCTCTTATATAAACACACAGTTTATTATGTGTCGGATAAGGATGGAATTAGAGTAGAACTTCTGAAAGCGGGTGGAACCGGGGAACCAGCATTGGACGGTACTTGAAATCCTTCAGAATATGTTTAGTCGTTTACTTTGGAGACGTAAACCAAAACTACAGTGGTCTAGTTCTTCAAGAAAGACGACAACGTTCTTTTTTGAAAAACAACATACTGATTTCATTCCAAGCTGCATATACGTGCTGTTTTCTAGTCATTTCGAATTCAAAAATTCGCGTTGCACGCAGACAAGTCCGAGTTGTACCTAACCTTCGGCAAATTTTACAGAAGACCAAGATGTACAAACTGCCACTTTGTCTTGCGTGTGTGGACTATGATAATGCCTTTAACTCCGTCGAAATTTGCGCAGTGCTACAGTTCCATCAGCGGTGCTTAATTAACTGTCGGTTTTTCGAAGTGCTGAAGAGTTTGTACAGTAGAGTTTTGGTGACAACGTAACTGTGGCCTTTTCTATTATTTACCGGCATCTATCCATGAGCTGCAGCGTACTATCGCATGACCAGCTGGACTTTTAGTCCGTTTGTCACTCTATAAGTTTAAAAAAGTAAACGTGTTTAGAAATAATCGCCCTGAACTTTGTTATATAATATAATCGAAGGTAACCAAGAATATAGTGTCTTGGCTACGAGCACAGCAATAAAAAAAATCAACCATAATTTAAAAAAAAAAAGAATATTAACATTGCTATAAACATTACTAATATTCCCCTTAACCACTCGTGGTAAGCTTAAATTGCTTGTGTTACGAGTGGTTCACGCCAGTAGTCGAATGGCGCATTCGAACCCACGACCTTTTTGAGTTCGCGGTCCGCGCCCTGCCATTAGGCTACTGTCGCTTATGAAATAATGTTGCACAAATGTTAGCTATGGCTGAAATTGTGATTAAGGTCTGGGAGTAGACTTCTCACATCGAAGTTGACCGTTGAAATAATTGTTACGGCTTACATCTGATATAAAACCCTTAATGTTTCCAGGTTTTAGAACAAACAGAGCAGCACAGGCGTCTAGTTCTTGCGAACATCGCAAGGGACATTAGCACGTGGATGGTGGTGGTACGGAGAGAGAAGGCTATTTACCACACTCTTAACATGTTCAGCATGGACATCGTGAAGAAGTGTCTCATAGCGGAATGCTGGGTGCCGAAATGCGACCTACCTATACTACAAAAGGCGCTGGATAACGGAGTGGTGAGGTCTTTATTTATCTTATAGCGGCGTCCTCAGAAATTCGATTACGAACTTGTTAACTCTCACGTCCGCCACCCAAAGGAGTAGGCAGAGAGAGGCTACGGACTTCAATATATCGCCAATTTGGTGATTAACTTTCGTCTAGCCCTAGGGCTTCACTTGCCGAATCTACCATTCACTTCTTGCAGCATATATTTGCTTTGTCACTCTATCCTTATTCATTCTTTCAACGTATTCATTTGTGTAAATTCCATAGTACGAAAGTAGCCCGAGTTCAATGCTAAACATGCAGATTCACTACGTGCTCAGTGATGAAACCTGACTGAGGAGAATCTTAAATACTTAAAGTATAGTTTGCCAACATGGGTTGGGATAGGGAAACGGTCTTTTCTTTATTTCCAGAGCGAAGGTATCTTCACTTCGCCCACTAACTTGACTGCCAGCCTGATGGTGAATTTTCGAAAAGTCTTTGTTCAGCAATGGATTTTAAAATGCTGCACAACGTTCAGAAATCAACTTCAGTATTGCGCGAAATGTGTTTCTCCTTCCGTATACGAACTCTCAATACGCTCTAACGTCATCCGAGCCACGTAATAAGATAATATCTGCGCGATTGACTATATGACAAGTTAATAAATAATAAATATGGCCTCCATAACGAATTTTGTTAACGGAAACTAGCCATTTGTACAGGACAGGAGTATAGTGTCCGAGTGTATGCGCAAGCACAGGTCACACTCTCATAGTCCGATGGGACGGTAATTCAACACACTGGAGGGAGATCAGCCTCAGGAACAACATATTTACGTGCTTTCCGAGCTACGTCAACTTCATGACACCGGGCTGCCTTTCTCGACGGAAAACCCAATAACTTATTTTGGCTCGACCCGCCAGCCTCCGCGTTTATGACTATTAGACCAGCAAGGCAGTAAATGTTATAAAGATGAAGCCATGCTAAGGTGAATTAGCGCAAAATGCTGAACTAATTCAATTTGTTCCATAACATATTTCTTTTCGGTTTCGTTCGTTCAAATGGAATTTAAATTATGATTTCTTATATTTACGCTAACACTACACATTGATTAAAATTACTTTTACGGGTTTTAATGCGTTTAATTATTTGATTTGTAATTCCCGACGTTTCGGGTGCTTTCCAGCACCCATGGTCACGGTGGACTGAGGTGATTGACGTCCCGTTGTCAGTGTTAACCCGGAGTATCTTCAGCTTTTTAATTATTATTTATGGTCCGATTCGCGCAGAATGAACTTACTGTGTTTCGAAGTCTTAAAATGGTTTGCTTGGGTTTAGTTTTAATTTGATTAATTACAGGGTCCCAAGAAGGTAATACCCAGCTTCCTTCTCTATTGAAATTAGGATGCTTTTTAACTTCAATAGCCTCACGTATAATCCTTGGTAGGAATCGGAATTTAAATTATTTACTTCTACGTTGTTATATATAGGTATATTAAATTTAACAAGCGAACGAAATTCAAAAACACAAAAAACGTTTTTTATTATTACTATCATGGGAATTTAATGTATGCGTTGTAGAAATCGCGTGACTCGAAATATCTTTTGAACTTGATCGCCCTGCGACCACGCCCGAACAACAAACTTCTAAATATTTTACGGTAATGAGATCGGCATGCGGCTTTTCTTTACTGCGGTCGTGAGCGTGTCGTCGGTCCTTCAGCCGAGCTTTGCGATGAGGGCAAATATTCTGGAATTTGAGAACCACAGGATTGTTTACAATTGTTGATATTATGTAGTTTTTAATAAAAAGCAAAACCTTAAAGTCAAAGACTTCAAAAACACCAAAAATTAAATTAATAATTTTGTACATAACAGCTTCATAAATCGGTACTAAAACATATTTACTCCAGATGTCAAATAGCCGGGGGGACAGTCTCTACAGCCTCCGCGGCTGTCTTATCTTTTGTCTTTTTCTTCTTTTTTTAAAAACGTTACCTCCACACTAGGATTTTCTCCTGTATCGTAGGGACAGTTTACAAACATAAATTTCACAAGGACAAACATCCTGACCCGGAACATTTAATTGTAGACCATACAAATATTTGTTCCGTGCGGGATTCAAACTCGCGGCCCTTAGCGCTGTAACTCATTGCTAAGTCACTGCGCCACGGAGCCGTCAAAATGTTATTTCACTGTGTTACCGGTTTTGTAACCTGTCCATATTTATGGAAAGTCTTGTTGATAGACAAAGCTAGATAATAAATAATTTTTAATCTGTAATTCGTTGACGAATTTGAAAATTTGCCAGTCGAAAATCGTCAATTTAATCGCGCCAATACAATGCTTGTCCATTTTATCTCGTATTTAGTGTTTTCATGTTTATTATTGCTTAAAACATCAGTGTATATAAAAATATGTGTATATAAAAATATAAATTATCTTTAACATCTGCATGTAGTTTTGTGTTATCATTCAATTTTGTTGCGATTTGCAACAAAATGAATGTAACACAAAAAAAAAAAAAAAAAATTAATGTTTTTAATTTTTTTTACGAAAATTGGGTACCCTCCTATTTAAATGAGTTTATTACTTCGCTTTTAGTACTAATGTACTAAAAGCGAAGTATGTACTAAAAGCGAAGTATGTAAGTATATTATAATGTCGACTTAGGTGGGAAACACTTTTTAGTATAGTTTTTTGTATAAACTACGTCATTATACCCATATAATACAAGAAAACACGAATTAAGTAAAATATGAAACTATTTGGTCCGGACAATATTAGATAGCCGCAATGGTGTTTACTGTTGACCGGGTTACAGAATAAATAATACGGAGTATAGAAGAATTAAGGCGTATTTTAGAATCGGTTTTGATGCTCGGGAATAAATAGATACTTCTTGAAATAAGATACGCTCGGAAAAATATACGCATACATGAAATACTCAAATTTTCAATCGAAAGCATTTTTAAAACTTTATCGAGGTTAAAAACATTATTTAAATCGCAAAGAAAAAACTTTGATATTAGAGTTCTTGTTTTTTAAGCGATGGCTATTAAAAATGTTATTATTGTATAGATAATGTTATTAAATTAAATTCTTAAAGGGCTTCATTTTTTGGATACTTTAATTTTTTTAAAGCAAAAATGTTTCAAATGAAGTAACTTTTTGTCCACTCGAATGTCGCACGCTTACTTCGTGCTGGACTATGCATTGCAACAAAGAAGGGAGCGCTAAAAGCCTTTCAATGTCTTGAGAGACTGTTATGTAGATTTTTTTAATTATTTGTAGTTCTTTAAAATCGGCTTTTACATTTTAATAAAAAAAATATTGTCTGACCCTGTTTGAGTAGGCTTAGGAATATCACAAGCTACGACAACAACCAGAATATCGTCGAAATAGTTATATTAATAACTTCATCTCCTATTTTCCCGCCCTTAGCAGTGGATTTTTCACCAAATTTATTTGGGCCCACTACAGAAGTATAAACTATTTGAAATAAAAATATAATTATAAAACCGGTTTCCAAATGACGAAAATATCACATAAAAAAAGAACATAGAGATAGAATCTCTTTTTCTTGGAGTGAACTAAAAACATTATCATTGGATTTGTGGGGTGTTGGAAGTATTTGAGCAAACACTAGTTATCCTCGTCTTTACTAGTTTTTAATTTTATTATATTTATTCTATAATATAAAAATACTTTACACCGACCTTGTTACATTATCTCACAGTCAACCTTGGGTAAAATTGAAACGCGATAGGCGCTTACTTACATTAACCGAAGCTTAATTAAATAATATGATAAAATGTAATATTATTTAAGATGCAATGCAATGTAATAGTGGCCGCGTAAGTTTCACCCTTTATGGTCCCGTATTCTTAAGAGGTGTCTATGGGGGAAAAACAGAAAGATCTGGCGTGTCCCATAGACGCTTCGTCATGGATTTCGATTGATATATCTTTCACTGTTAGTCGCTGGTCTAGGTAACCGCGGCATACAGCAGCGTCAAAGATGCGAGAAGTATCTGCGCTCACCTCATTCGAAATGGTAGTAAATTTAAAAGAAAATTACGCATATAACAAACGAAATTATAATTTTTCCGTCACAGAAATAAATATATTGTTTCATTTCCTTTCGAACCCGCACGATCGCAGCTTTAGTGTTGGCTAAATACCAGCGTAAAATAACAGCTTAATACTGCTGTGTTTTGTAGGGTGAGTGTAGAGATCCGGAGACCCTTTTTTACTGGAAACGAGGCATTCCATCTTAGTCCTCAGGGGTGACTAACGCATCTGAATTTTTATTATAATCGAGAATAGATGTAGATGTCTATGGGCCACAGCATCCATTTACCATCAGGTGGGCTGTGTGCTCGCTTGTGACCCTTATTTGATTAAAAAATTCTATAAAATCTGTAAGAGAAATATTTTTGTTGTAATTAAAATAATTTTCGAATTTCGGTCATGGCGGCCAATGCCAATGGATACAAGCCATCTGCGTAGGAGAGGATTGTAGAAGCACATGTGGATTATATCCCACACCCCCATATTCATAATTCATAGGAGTGACAACTCATCTGCGTTTTGATTTTTAATCGAGAATAAATGTAAATGTCTTAGGGCCACAACATCCACTTACCATCATCAGGTGGACTGTGTGCCCGTTTGTCACCCTTATTATATTTAAAACAAATTCTTTCCTGCTTAGCAGTCCGTTTGGATAGTTACCAGATCATCGAAGACTCAGTTTACAAGCAAGCAATTTCTCACTAACTCCTTTATTTTATTAATTTAGAAGCAGAGCGGCAGTCCGATCCCATCTTTCTTACACCACGTACCGACGCGCGAGATACCACCCACGTTCAACCGCGTCAACAAGTTCACTTGCGGCTTCCAGAATCTCATCGACTCATACGGCATTGCCAGCTACAGAGAAGTCAATCCAGGTATGTGCCGTTATATCTTTCCTTAGAGAAGCTCGCGGAGCGTGCTAAAGACTTTTATTATCATGACGTTTTGCTATATGGTAAGACTATTTTATACGTGGTAGAGCCACGCTGTAGCTATATTATGGTTGTAGCACGAATGGGTCGGCTCGACCGGGGAAGACCACGCTCTCACAGAATACCAGCGTAAAATAGCAGCTTATTACTGCTGTGTTTTGTAGGGTGAGTGTAGAGATCCGGAGACCCTTTTTACTGGAAACGAGGCATTCCATTTTAGTCCTCAGGGGTGACAACGCATGTGCGTTTTGATTCTTAATCGAGGATAAATGTAGATGTCTATGGGCCACAGCATCCACTTACCGTCAGGTGGACTGTGTGCTCGTTTGACACCCTTATTCTATTAAAAAAAAATTATTTTCTGCTTAACAGTCCGTTTGGATAGTTACCACCATCTTATCTAACTGTGCCGTCGAATAGCCGTACGTGCACTGTTATAATCTTTCTAAAGAAATGTTTAATTAGGTAATAGATGTGCTGTAAAATAATTTTGACTTTGTGATTATCGGGAAAATAATAGTACTAAATACTATCGACTTAAAACTCTTTATTTACTACAAAAAATTAAAGAGTTTTGAGTTGAGACATTTATTATTTTACATTGCAAAATAAATTTTAGAATTTTAGAAGCGACTGTAGCCTAATGGCATGGCGCGGACCGCCAATTCAAAAAGGTCGTGGGTTCGAATCCGCCATTCGACTACTGGCGTGAACCACTCGTAACACAAGCAAATTAAGCTTACCACGAGTGGTTAAGGGGAATGAATATTAGTAATGTTTATAGCATTTTTATTATTCTTTTTTAAAATAAAATATAAGAAAATTAAAACGCGTAATTCAACTTTTACATACAGTTTTGTCAACGAAATTGAATATTATGCTATTTCTAAATGAACTATTCATTCCTTGGAGGAGGCGTGGACTTGTAAAGAACTGTAATGATGACATTGTAGAAACGAACTATGCGTCATTAGAAATAGTAGTCTACGATGTAACTACGATCACTCGCGTTCGTTTGGTGGCGTTCCCAAAATATTGTGTCGCGTGCCATCGATGGCACGCGTGCCATTAGTTCGCCGTACTTGCCCTAGGACATTATACATTATTATTAATCTAAACATATATTAAATTAATAATTCTTTTTTATTTTAATCCACATGATGGTAAGTTGCTACCACCTACCAAAATGCTTCTAAAACCAAATTCAAACGAAGAAGGTCACAGATACAATGTGTCTGATAAGAACTAACATGAAAAATCTCACACAAGACAGCAGATTTGGTTCGATTTGGTTGCCGAAATAAGTCAGACGTGTTAACAACTTGATAAGGTAGCATCCTGAAAAACCTATCGTTAATCTAAGCAACCATTAGATGTGTTCTTTTCAAAATTATAATGTCCTCTTTTGTTAATGTTCCTTAACGGTAATTTAATTGTTATCAAATTTCCTGCAGCTTTGTACACCATAGTCACATTCCCCTTCCTCTTCGCCGTGATGTTCGGAGACATTGGACACGGCATCATAATGACCGCTTTCGCTGCTATCGTAATCATATTGGAGAAGAGTCTTGCTAAAAAGAAAACTGACAACGAAATCTGGAACATTTTCTTCGGAGGCCGCTACATTATATTACTAATGGGAATATTTTCTATATATACTGGATTGATATATAACGACATATTCTCGAAGTCCTTGAACATATTCGGTAGCGGCTGGAGGAATGTATATGACAATGAAACGCTGATGAGGCACAAAACGCTCGAACTGGATCCGGCGACCGCTTACACTCAAACGCCCTATCCTTTTGGACTTGATCCAGCTTGGCAGGTGCGAGTTATATAAATCTTTTATGATTCGATATACTATCTGGCGTGTGCAGGCGGCCTAATATAAATTATTACTGCATTACATCGTATGGGTGTCGTAAGAGGCGACTAATGGAAATTAAGCTATTATAGCAATCTATTCTTTTTTGTTTTTCGACGAGGTAGATGGACGCCGCTGATTGTAGCACGTATCGGTCGGCTCGATCGGAGAAGGACCACGCTCTCACAGAATACCAGCATAAAATAGCTGCTTAATGTTGCTATGTTCCATATGGTGAGTGGAATGTCACATTTTTGTTATTTCGAATACGTAAATAAAAGACCGTAGCTGAGAAAACTTTATTTTCTAGCCCACATTCAAAACATAAAATATAAATATTCAAACCACCCACATAGAAAACCCAAGACTACACTAGAAACAAAGTAATCCATCTTGGTCCTCAGGGGGACAATGCATCTGCATTTTAGTTCTTAATCGAGAATAGATGAAGATATCTATGAACCATAGTACCTGCTTACGATCAGGTGGATAGTGTGCATGTTTGTCAAAATAATTCTTGGCAACTCCGTTTGAGGACCGTCTCCAATTGGAGATTATTTAGAGATTGATAATGATGAGGCAGAAGATTTTTTATTGTAACCATTTTTTCATTAGTATTTTGACAGAGCTTTAAAAATGAATTTCCATGTGATACTGCCATGTTTTGTAAAAATTAAAACGTATGACTACATTATGTAATCATTGTTTCAGTTCGCGTCGAACAACATAATATTCCTAAACTCGTTCAAGATGAAACTATCAATCATATTCGGAGTGATTCATATGGCGTTCGGGGTAACAATGAGTGTGGTAAACTTCAAGTAATTACTATATTCATAGAAACTAGAGCACGTAGTTTTGTCTATTCTATTTTAGCACTTAACACGTTCGCTATAAGGTCTTGTTTCGCTTTGCAGCTTCTTCAAGAAGAACTACATGATTTATCTGCAATACATCCCACAGATATTATTTCTGTTGCTGCTGTTCTGGTACTTGTGTATACTCATGTTCATGAAGTGGACGATGTACTCGGCCGTCGCAACTGGTAAGACTCGAAATCGATACATTGATCAATACTCTTAGAATAAAAGGGCTCTTAGAATTAGTCATAACTCTTACTACCTTAATTGATGCCTCTAAAAATTTGAATTCGATGCTATTGTACAATCTACAACGTTAGGGAGACATTAATCGTAATCCTTGAGTATGACAACGCATTTATTCGATTTGCCCACATATAGGCAGTTTACTGTTAGTAGTTAGTTATATGTAGCCTACATGACCCATTTTTTTATATTTAGTTGCAGTCTAATTAAAGACTTAGTATCATCCAACTAATGTCAATGATTACTCTGGTTATTTCTTCATGAAATGCACGGTATCCAATACTATTAATTGCAATAAACAATTTCAGTGCTGTTCGCACAGGAAATAGCCAGGAAATTGAATTAAGTCGCGCGCTAGACTAGAAGTTACTAGAAGTAACTCAAGTTTCATTCTTGTCGATAGTAATAAAATTACCAATCGTAATTTTGCGAATTAATCTTTTACGTGATCATCGGTGAAAGACAACATTGTCAAGGAATCTGCAGTTTGATACATTACAAACATTACACTTTTACTAATTTCTGACAATCAATGGCGTTGAACCAATTTTATTACGTTTTATACGGCTTTTACGAGCGGTTACGTGCATCCATTTTAATTATCTGGAGTAGCAACGTGCCTGTGGTTAAATAGATCACTGGCCACTTAAACACAAATATTTTCCATTAGCAGCGGTAGTTTCCATTTCCATTATTATTATTTATTTAAAAAAATTATTGCATTGTCATATATAAATAGATAGAAAGGGCGAGCTTAGTGTCTAAAGGCAACCTACCGTCTCATGGATGTCGTTGGCAACTATGGAAAAATGTCAGAACGCCATTCCCGCCTCCAATAGATGATGGTATTAACAATCTCCTTTAGGCCAGCGTCGAAGGTATGAAACTACGGCTACAACAGTTACCAATCCGCCTGCGAAGTATGAGGATTAAGGCAAATCCTTCCGACAAAGTAATAAGCCCATACCTAGCAGTGGACTTTTAGCGGGCTGATGATGAAGTTAAAGTGGAAGTTGTTGAATGACTTCAGATCCAGCATACGGCACCTCGTGCGCGCCATCAGTGCTGATCATTTTCATCAACATGATGCTGATGAAGAAGTCTGAAGTGAAGCCGCCGTGTTCGCTTTACATGTACGAAGGTCAGGAAGCGCTGCAGAGGTCATTGCTGGCGGTCGCTTTCCTGTGCATACCGATTATGTTGTTCGGCAAACCAGTGTACCAGATGATGGCGGAAAAGAAAAAGAAGGTCAGTGAAATCTTTATCTTTATACAGGTTGTTAGTGTAAACACCGATATCCTTCAAAGCAGTGGTTTGGTTTTACTTATAGAACGTAAATTCAATGAAAAATAACATTTTTTTTTAGTAAAATCTCAATTTTTCCTTAATTCATCAATTTTTGCTTATGCATCCAGGACATGCAAAAATTGATGAATTAACATCAATTTTTGCCTGTTTAGGAAGCCGGGGCGGATCGCTATTAAAATATATAAATAATTGTTGACGTTCGTTAGTGATCGTGTATTTCTGAACGACATGGCGGATTGGATATTCACACAATATATATGTTTTATCGAAACGAAGGTTCGCAGCTATGCTAGAATCCGATAGGTAGCGCTGTATTCGAGCTATTAATAAATTCCCCAACAAGAACAGAACCAACTGACCAAAGTGAATCGTATTCATACCCATACCTAGTGTGCCCCGCGGTTTCACCGCGTATATCAGGCTTCTGAGCCACGCGATATGGCACCTTGCTTTTTTGCGTTCGCTGCAGGTTTCTCTCGGTTCTTATCGGACCGCTAGGGCTATGTAGTAGTTCGCGCACCAATCCGAGTGTTAAACTATATAAATTTTTCATTATCTCATAAACTATGCATCCAATTAAGATGCTATAAAGAGCAAAGTTTATCGTCATAAAATTGTTTCGATGATGAAGTAATTTTGGTTCTATGCCATGTCTAATAATAACGCTCATAATTCACTTTTTAATTTTCAATATTTTTAAGCTATTGCATAGCTTCTATCGCGGGCCTTGAGTGCGGGAAAATCCAGAAATTTCGTAACGAAAAAACCTCACGCTCTCCGACGGGCACGGAGGTGTGGCTTGAAGGCCGTGCATTGTCTAACGATGGTCTAACGTCGTTTCTTTTCCTCAGTCTTCGACACGGTGTTTGTGTATAAAGTGTTTTGAAATTTTGAATATGAATGAACAAAGTGCATTTATTATTAATGAAGAAAGTCACGAAAAAATAGTGAAAGAAAATGAGTGAGTACTCTATATACATACCTACATTTTATTATCACAAATGCAGTACTAATTTTGAATTGAAAATATAATACTGCTATAAAGATAACCTAAATTTTTGATATTAAAATGAGCGATATTAAAAGTAGCCCTCTTTATATACACACAAACACACACATGCGTATAGTTTAAATTCTCAATTTAGATTCTCAATATGTATATATATACTCGATTAATCGGACTAATTGTTGCCGTTAGGGATTCGGATAATCGAAAATCCGGATGATCGAATGTATGAAGAAAAGCGGGTTTTGTGCATTTGAAGTACATATGTACATACATAATGTTATGTGTTTATTAAAAACAACAATTTCAACGAAAATCAATGTTTATTAAGAAATTATTATTTTTTAATAAACATTGATTAAATTCCATGAAGAGATATAAATCTATATAACCATCCGTTACTTGCGACAAACGAGCCGCCGTCACCTAATTTTTTATTTAACTGTAATGCTTTTTCACAAAGCAAAGGGCCAGATATCATTTGCCCAGTTGATCGTTTTTGTAAAAACCAACAATACAAAGCGTCTTCTAATTGCCAATTTACTCGCGGACATAGGTCCTTATGTCCGGGACGGAGGTTTGTTAGCGCCTGATAGTAGATCGTCTTATCTCAAGCGGTGTGAAGCGACGATTAGTGAGGTGCGGGAGGGGGAGGCTAGCTGCATTTGTGCGCGCGGTCGGTCACCCCTAAAGTTGGGCGTTATAACATACAACAGATAATATATTTCATTATATATTTTTAATCTTACAACACATTAGAATAATGAACCATTGACTGTTATAATATTATATTCATTATCGTTAGAAAGCGTCATCTGTTTACGTTTACGGTCCAACCGTCGCGTCGGCCGAGACAATGGGAGTCAATAAAATACTACCTACATTCATTATGCCACAAGGATTGCGTATAGCTTACACTAATTTAAACTCTAAGGTAACTTAATAAGAGCTTATTTTACTAACACAAACGCGAAGCCGGGTTGTTCATATATTGAAAGTCTCCTTGTTTTGTTTTAGACTTATGTTAATAGAGCGTGCCATTTGAACTTAAAGACAATTAATTGGACAATAAATAATAAGTGACAAATCTTGCCGTGGAGCGTGGAACTAAGTAGTTGCGCGTCTTGTTAATATAATTGCCGTACGGCCGCCCTGACGTATGTACTGCGCGAACCTGAGTTTTTTGCGACGCGGTCCGGTGATACAGTATTTTTCACAAATAGTGAGTTCGTTATAACGCGGGTTCGGTTAAATCTGGTTGAATTTGATTGGATTAACCTAAGTAACTTGAATTAATATCAAAGAAAAAGAAATACTGCATAAATAAAATAAATAATTATAATTGCATAAGTTGATACAAAATGCTATGCAATAGCTTTACCGCGGCAGTCCCCGAGTGCCACACGTCTTTTTTTGTCACAAAATACCTCATTAAGTCCTGTTTAAGAAATAGGCGTATGGTATCGCTGACTTTTTTAAAAAGATGGAGTAAAGATGAATATTTTTGTAAAACATTGTATTTACCTATCACTACTAATTTAGCCCAGCGCACGCGGGTAAAGCAATTCGGGAGCGCATTTTTTCGGACTTACTTAACTAAAAACAATGTTTAAGGCTAGCTGAGACTAGTAATTATAATATACAAGAAGAATTTTACAAACAGGACTGTTAGTTCCCGAGATTAGCGTTTAAAGAAACAAAAAAAACTCTTTCACTTTATTATAGTATTGATAATATTGCCAAAGAAAATAATTACAAAATTTGAACCCGATAGATGGCGCTGTGGTCGAGTTATTTTATATTTGTTCTGTATAAACAGACAACGTCTGCCGAGCCAGTCATGATTTTAACTTTTAAAAATAATATCTTAAAATGTAAAATTTGATAACATTTCTTATGTAGAAATATCAGCAAGGCGTTGAAAGCGGCGAGGTGAAGGAAGCAGGTGCTCACGACGGCGGCATGGGCGAGGTGCTGATCACGCAGGCCATTCATACCATCGAATACGTGCTGGGCACCGTTTCACACACCGCCTCCTACCTGCGCCTGTGGGCGCTCTCCCTCGCGCACGCACGTGAGTACTGCACACACGCACATATGCACGCACGCAAACATGCACACACACATTATTTCTTTATTAGCTCATAAAAAGATCACCTTGTGATGTTATATACACAATTATAAGAGGGACTGTTATTATGTTAATATTAACTAAAGATCCGCATATTACCATTTTATTTTATTAAATCCTCATCTCTCATTTTTATTTTACATTAAATCCTCATTATCATTTTATTTTATTTAATAAAATAAAATGATGTGCCTTACCTAGCTTAAAAACATATCGTCTTATTGTTGCTCACATTACCTCTTCAAACTAGGTTTTTGTTTTTTATATATAGAATAAGAGTAACAAACGAGCACACAGTCCATCTGATGTTAAGTGGATGCTGTAGCCCATACACATCTACATTTATCCTTGATTAGGAATCAAAATGCAGATGCGTTGCCACTCCTGAGTATTGAGATGGAATGCCTCGTTTCCTGTGAAAAGGGACTCCGGTTCTCTACACTCACCGTATGAAACACAGCGGCATAGGGCTGCTATTTTACGCTGGTATTCTGTGAGAGCGTGGTCCTACCCCGTATAAAAGAGAGAAGATTAGATAGGATTAAGAAAGAGGAGATTAGATTGGAGCTAGGGTATGAAAAACTTTAAAGACCAAACCACTGAGACATTTTGTGTATTTACACACTCAAAATGCAATAAACTTTTATTTAAGACCTAACTTCTAAATAATAATGACGTTGTGTAATAAATACAATTAACAACGTCTGATGAGCGGAAAGATGTTAGCCTTCATTGGTGCAGCGTGTGCGCTGTTCTGAATATAGAAATCAAAAAGAATTTATGAATTTAAATTGATTGTCATGACCAAGATGGACAAGGATGGCCTTGTGTTCAAAGACAACTTTTCCGTGGAGGAGTTTTTACGTGGTCGAGCCATGCTACAGCTATATTGTGGTTGCAGCACGAATGGGTCGTCATACTAGGGGTAGGACCACGCTCTCACAAATAAAAGTAAAGTAAAGTTTCAGCCTATATAGGTCCCACTGCTGGGCACAGGCCTCCCCTCAATTCTGAGAGGGTTTTAGGGCAAGTAAGTGCCCGCCGCGCAGCCCCAATTGCGTTGGCGCACTTCACATGTCTTCAAAATTTTTTTTTCTTATTCTTCAGACATGCAGGTTTCCTCACGATGTTTTCCTTCACTGTCAAGCACGTGGTAAATCAGCACTTAAAATTGCAATTAACAATTTCATTGGTGCCGGCGGGGATCGAACCCAGGTTACTCGCGTTCTGCTACATTTACAGCGAGCGTTAACCATCTGAGCTACCACGGCTACCACCCTACCGTGAAATAGCAGCTTAATGCTGCTGTGTTTCGTATGGTAAGTGTAGAGAACCGGAGACCTTTTTTACTGGAAACGAGGTATTCCAGCTCAGTCCTCAGGGCTGACAACGCATGTGTATTTTGATTCTTAATTGAAAATAAATGTAGAAGCCTATGGGCTACAGCATCCACTTACCTTCATGTGGACTATGCTCGTTTGTTACCCTTATTCTTTAAAAAAAAAACAATTCTACCGTCTACATAATATCAGTTACATATGAGTACATTATTGGAACCTATGTACTTTATAAGTCAATCTAGTTTATTATTCATGATTTGGTTTAACTTTTTACTTTAATTTCTCTAAGTACTTTTATTTCATTTACAATATAAGATAGAGCTAGCAATATAAAATATAAGCTATATTTTTATTTTATTTCTTTTTATTTCCTTTTTTATGAAATATTTCTGACAACTGTTCGGTAATATGAGCCACTGATGCAATATGAGCAAATGATCACAGCACTATGGTCGTGATAGAAATGCTACAGCATCATGCTGAGTCAAATTCCTTTTCATTATTGCCAATTGTGATGGGAGCATGTAACAGGTACCTCAACTCAACTAGCGACTTAAAGTGAAGGGAAAATAGTTATATAATTTATACATGTTGCAACGTGTGCGCACGCGCAGAACTGTCGGCGGTGCTGTGGCAGCGCGTGCTGCGCGCGGGGCTGGGCGGCGCGGTGCCGGCGGGCTCGCTGATGCTGTACGTGACCTTCGCCATCTGGGCCTTCTTCACCATCGCCATCCTCGTGCTCATGGAGGGCCTATCCGCTTTCCTGCACACGCTGCGGCTGCACTGGTTCGTGCACTCTTGTATACTTCCACTAATGCAACTCGACAATCGAGTAGAAGTCTCTTTTTACAGAATAAAAATGATCAAAGAGCACCCAGTACACTTGTTGGTAAATGGATACTATGGCATTAATACGTCTACATTTATCCTCCGTTACCGTTACCGTTATAGCCTATTAAAACTCTGCCCTGTTGGTGTAGTGGTTGTAGTAGTGCGACTGCTTAATTATGAGCTCCTGGGTTCGAATCCCGGGTGGGGTCAATCAAAAAACAAAAAATTTTTATACGTGGTAGAGCCATGATGCAGTTATATTAGTAGTATAGTTGTAGCACGAACGGATCGGCTCGACCGGGGAAGGACCACGCTCTCGCAGAATACCAGCGTCAAATAGTAGCTTAATGCTGCTGTGTTACGTATGGTGAGTGTAGAGAACCGGAGAGCCTTTTTACTGAAAACGAGGCAATCCATCTTAGTCCCCACGGGTGACAACGCATCTGCATTTTGATTCGTAATTGAGGAAAGATGTAGGTGTTTATGGACCACAGCAATCACTTACCATCAGTTGGACTGTGTGCTCGTTTGTCACCCTATCCTATAAAAAAACAATTGTTGAGTTTTTCCGTCAAGAAATTCTCAGTAGTTGCCCGTAGTCAAGAAGTTGCCGGTGTCTCACCCCCGTGCCTCCGGAAAGCACATAAAACCGTTGGTCCTGCGCCTGATCTCTCTCCGGTCCTGTCGGTTTACCGTCCCATGGGATTATAAGAGTGAGGGAATAGAGAGTGCACCTGTGCTTGCGCATACACTTGGGCTCTATAATCCTGTGCTGCGATGGTGGCTAGTCTCTGTTGAGGCGGGCCGTCGTAACCGAAATTCGGTCGGCAGGATATTATTAAAATTCCACTGCTGAACATGGACCACCCCCATGGCATGTCTCATAGAGGGGATATTTGCCGTAGTTACCACGCTTGGCTGGCGGGTTAGCAACTGCAGTTTTCTTAGCGCTACTGCCCATCTCCTGATTTCATTTCCTCTGTCGCTTCTTACGACACCTGTTCAAATTCTCCATTTAAGTTAGCAGTCAGCCGTAGCAGAGTGTTCATCACCTGAGGATGATTCGTGTAGAGCACGTATTATCGACGGTAGTGTGTCTTTCCTGGAATAGTGGTGTTGGCAGTAGTGGTGCTGTAAGTAGTCGTGACGGGAATAGTTCACACAATTGAGGGAGGACGGCAGGTGCTCTTCAAACTAGGTAAGTAAGTAAACTAAGTAATCCTTAAGCGAATATAAGCAAAGTCAGTTTTAGCAAGTTTAATATAATGGATTTCCGCAAAGTAACGCCTGATTTCATTAATACTCCGTTCAAATCAAAATGCAGATGCGTTGAGCCCTGAGGGCCAAGATGAAATGCCCCATAATCAGTAAAAGGGTCTCTAGTTCTCTACACTCACAACATGGAATTCAGTAGCGTTATTGTTATTATTCCTGGTATTTTATTAGAGCGTGGTCCTTCCTCAATCGAGCCGACTCATTTGTGGTGCAACCATAAAATAGCAGCAACGTGGCTCTAGAACGTTTGCTGCGTTACGTAGGCGTCTATGTATTTTATTGGTTTTAAAAAGAATTATCACTACAGTAGGATTTTCATACATAAATTGCACAAGGACAAACATCCAGAACCGGTACAAATAATTGTAGGTCATACAAATATTTATTCCGTGCGGAATTCGAACCAGCGGCTCTAGGCGCCGCAACTCAAAGCTAAGCCACTGCGCCACAGAGCCGTCTGTGCACAGCATCCTCCTACCATCAGCTAGACTATTTACCCGTTTGTCACCAAAAGTAAGTTTTGCAACTTAAACTTTAAGTCATCCAATTCCAGGGTGGAATTCATGAGCAAGTTCTACGAGGGGCAAGGCTACGCGTTCGTGCCGTTCTCGTTCGCGGCAATACTGGAGAGCGAGGACGACGAGCTGGTGGCACAGAGCGGTGGTGCCGCGACCGAGTGACCTGATGCGAGGCCCACTGCACACACCTAGTACAAACTTTCATTTAAATACAATTAATTCAATTAATTAAATTGTCTAATATTTAAGAGGATACCTTGAAAATGAATCGAAGTTTTGGGGGCGTGGCTTATTCCTTTGTCGATGAAGCTAACGGACGACTGCGGGAGTGTCAAAATGAAAGTTATGCAATGACTACATTATACGCAAATTATGAGACAGCAATACTGAAAATTACATGATATCGTGTTTTCCTTTTATGCAATCCAAGGTCATAAAGTCAAAAATTATATACCAAAATTTTGTTAGTAATCTATAAAACTTAAAAAAATATGTTAAATAGAAAAACTACCAAATTTTTGAGGTATCACCTTAACTGTGGAAGCGAATTTTGCGATGTATGGAACGTGTTAAAACGCTCGACAAATATTTAGTAAAAGAATCGAGAATGATCGATTTGTATATAGGTTTTACATGCGTGATGAAATATGTAATAATAATAACGTACAGCCTGACGTATGATAGCGTTAGGCTGTTAAATAGTAATCAAATGTCTATAATAAACAATAAATTTATATAAATTTTAATAACAACTAAACATATTAAATGGAATAAAGAAGAGTTAAATTAAAAAAATGTGCTAGTACAAGGGTTAGGCACTAGTTTTAAGTGTCACAGTATGTAAGCCAGAGATTCCTCACCGGCGCTTACTTACGACTTAGTCGGCAGTAAAGTAACATCAGTAAGAGGACAAAAGCAAAAGTAGGAACCTAAATTATTTCGAAGTCGTGAAACCCGCCAAGACGTATTGATGCCGCACGGCGAACTTGGCAGAACTAAGTCGGTATGTAAGTAGGTCTGCATATCGTAACATACAAAAATTTTGAAATAATTTACTCCCATATATAAAAATATACAATGGTCATTTTCATATATGGGGCACAAAACAAAAAGTTATTTTAAAAACGAAAAAAAAATAGAATAAAAAACGCACCCCATTTTGTTGTGGGGAAATTGCACTACAAACCAAATGATTTTCAGAGAAATAAAATTTCAGGTATACTATACTGTAGTAAATTCAGACACTAGTTAATTTGGAAATGATCATTTGAACGATAGACAACAATTTTAAGAGAGAGTAATATCAGATACTCCCGTAGTAAGGAAAGCTTTATGCAATGCAAACGTCTTCCAATGCACGCATACATGAGCGGTCTATATCTACACTAGCAGATGGGAAAATAACACAATGCCGGCATCGACAGTAATAAATATCCAAATAAATATTGCGTTATTCTCTGTCCACTCCCAAGTGAACCTGCGCTACGAGTCGTGTGTATGAACTTACGAGTTTACTCCGGCCATGCTTTCACTCCCGCTGCTCCACAGCCTGACATGTGACTGACCAAAATATTCAAAACTTGCAACTTTATTAACATTTGCAACAAATTTTCTATAACTGATACAGTATCGATAAAAATATTTTTCGTATTCGTTTATACATTTTGTTTCAGTACTCCCACTATTCATTTCTAGGTTATAATTTGCTAAGATAAGATTATTATATAATTTATTTTTTAAACATTGTTATTAAATTATATTATTTTTATATTATTTTATTTAAATCATATTAATAAACAAGGGATCAGTAAGTTGAAGTGGTAATGAGCCAGCCATATAGCTCGACGAACCGACAACCGACGAGGATGAAAGGTTCTAGAGTGGCAGGCTCGTACCCGCAAGCTGAGTATGAGACGCTTCTCCCCACTAGTGGAGTATAGAATTGGGGCACCTGCTATCGTCTATAAATAATCCACAAGGCTCCAAAACCGAGTGAACATTAATAGAGACAAGAACTAAGTTCGTATAATTAAAAAGATTGTTAATATTTTTATCAATAAACATGTAAGTAGTAAATTACTTTTATTTCGTTAGTTCTTGTATTATACAGGACCACAGATTTTGTGGCATTCCTTTGTGAAGGCTTATGTTGCACAGTAGACTTGTGAAGTAATGATGATGACGATGATCATGATAAGACGACATAATTGCATAGCTCTTACTAAGACAAATATAGTAACTTATAGTATCTCAATATTTGACTAAATAGTAATTATAATTACTTTGTGATTAGTATTCAAGTGTGTGAGTCACAAATACTATAGGTACATAGAGAGATAGGTGATATTTTAGCAATAAGGTAACGTAGTTTTATAAATTCATTATTGTTTAAGCCAAAGATTTAATGGTTATAACGATTTTATCACTTGAACTTATTCTATCTTTGTAAATAAGTTCAATATAGTGCCTTCTATTTCATAATTAGAACTATTGATCATTAAATTCAGTAGGCTCTCAGTAATTTCGTACACAAAACGTGATATATCTTGTCGATCTTTCACAGCCATTACCAATCTACTATGTACGTTTCTTAAATGTGAAACATAAGAAATATCTAACTTTATGTAATCAAATCGTTTAAGCAAGTTATTTAAACAGGGTCACCTCAGTAGCATGCTTAAAATGGTACCAAAATATATTCTCATCTCTTACATATCTATTTTCAAAATTCTGGCCGTTGTGCGTTTAACTTGAAATCTACCTATTTTCACAAATATTCTTGTGCTATTCACCATATTATATAATTATTAATTAAATATCGTGACGATAGTGATGATGTCATGATAAATAAAAACTTGATTATTGCTAGTTCATTAATGTTTTGATACAGTTACAAGTAAATATTTTAATATTCTAAATAAGTTTAAAAATATTCATTGGTGTAGCTTCCTGGATATTTTCCTTGACCTATGTCTCTCAAAAATGAGACGAAGCCTGAGCCCAGCACCGGGACGAAGATAGGCTGTAACTTTATGTTAAGCATATTATAGTTCGGCCGTTCAGAGAATGCGTTCCTGACACCTATCAGTTAGTCACGACTAGTGATGGGCACAACATAACACTGAGTTCGTTACCGTTTCTCCAAAATGAACCGCCGCGTTATTTTTAAGATTATTTTCGTTTTAAATTGGCGGAATCATTTAAAATTTATATTTTAGTAATTTAAGTGGAAACCAAAAAAAGGTAATATTAATATAATAAAATTGGTTTTTTTATTCTTTGTTACAAAGTTACAATCTATATTTCTATGCAATAAAGTACATTGAATTGAATGTGCGTACAGAATATTAATCAGACTCCGATTCGCTTGAGGAGGTGGTGTCTTCATCATCATCTTCGCCTACATGTATAATTATATTATTATCAATAACAGAATCAATCCTGATATCTCGGTCTAAATGTTCCACAATCAGGTTTTTAGTCTTCTCAACAACCTTTGTCCAGTCATCTCTTGTGACTTCCCCGCAGGCTTGTTTTAATAGGGTCATCATCTTTTTCGTGCTGAATGGCGGGGAAGTATTGTGCGGCGGGCGGCGTAACCTTTTATTTGAGCCCAGATTAGCTCAATCGCGTTATATTGGCAATGATACAGTGGAATTCTTAGAACGCGATGACCGTACTCTAGAGCCAGTTCATCGATTTCGTATCATCCGTCCAAGAACGGGAAACCGTGTGATTGGCGTTTAGCCATGTCTCGTCAATGAACACGACGTTATCCCTGTTATCAATATTTTTAGCTTCTCTCAAAAAACTTATCCGTTTTAAAATTATGTCGTATCGTTCTAATAAAATTTTTCTTTTGTCTGTTTTTTATACGAAAAACCAATATCTTTTAAGATTTTGGTTAAAGCAGTTTTACCCCCGCTAAACAGTCCAGCTTCTCTTAACGATGCCAAAAGCTTCTTCCTGTTGAGATATTCATTTCTGGAATAGTAACCATATATATGATTTCTGATTGCATCGGCGTCAAAGGTGTCAATATCTGTCACGGGTTTAGTTCTACGTTTCTTCTTCGAAGTACGTAAAATATTATTATCCGTGCCAGTAGAGCCGAACTTTTCTTTATTAATATTTGTTATCGTTCGTTTGCTAACTCCAAGCGCCTGAGAGACGCGTTCTTGTACTTGTTCGACAGGTAACAAGGGTCCGCCATTTTGCCGCTCCCGCTCAAAGTAATCTTGCAGCTTGATTATTAACTCACGGGCTCCACTTTTCAATGTTTGTCCACGTTTAGGCATTATTATGCACCAAAAGTAAAAAGAACGCAATACAAAACACAATCGAAGTCCGATTTAGCGCCGATGTCAGTTTGAAAAACAGTCCATTAAACGAAAGCCGGGTAATCAAATAAAAACAGATCGAAAATACTTGAAGAACGTGGTATATGCGCACGAAACGACAACAGACGACTGTTTTAGAGTCACAAAATGGCGGCCCATAACGCCATTTGGGGTTATCATTTTCAACCTAAATATAAAAATGCTACTTTCTTGCGCGAGTTCGGTTTGGTCGTAGTTTTATTTTTATATTTAATAAAAGTTATCTTATAGTCCATTATTTTCAAATTCTTAAAAGAAAAACAAAACGTATTATTTTATAAAGTATAACTGTATAAGAACGGGGGGGACTGAGACGTCAAACATCTCAGTCCCCCCCCGTGACCATGGGTGCTGTAAAGCACCCGAAACGTCGGGATGATAATAAAAATAAATTAAAGTAATTAAACGCAATAAAATCCGTAAATAATAGTTTTATTCAATGTATAAGAACAGATTACGATACTGTTATTGCCTGTTATTGTTAGCACAGCACTACAAATATAAAGCGCTGACATAACCTTGTAATAGCGCAGTATAGATTTAGAAAAATATTGTTTACCAATTTATTTGACACTCAGTTTGGAGCAAAATTATAACATTCATTGATTATTGATATAATAATGTTGTTTTAATGCTCATCAATTGTTAAAACGGTAAACAACCAGCAAAAATATTTTTATCGTAACTGCAACGCCATTACAAAGTTACGTCGTCAGTTCAATCGCGACGTGTCAGGAACGCATTCTCTGAACGGCCGAACTATATTATTGATTTTAATGTCTG